ACGTCAGCGGCTCAACAACACCACAGCGCCCACTTGGTCAGCAACTCCAGACGTCACAGACACAGAGCAACAACGAGCAGCACACAACATGAGATGGGTGGGAATAACAAATACATAAGTTCATGTTATTCTCATCACTTGAAATAGCAATCAAAGCTGATTTAATTAAGCCATTCTGTGCAATTATGGTCTGCAGGGAAACACTGACAGGGTCCAGATACTTTTTCGGTTTGGACAGGGCACTCTGGGATACTGGGCAGTCATGACAGAGACTTCTGTGGAGGATCCAAACCAGAAGTGGGCCGCCTGTGTGTGTCCTGATGTACTTTGAGCACTTATCGGAAACCTTCATGCATATATGAGTAAAGGCGTATTCACTTAAAATAGTCACGTCTTTGTCATTGTCCAGGTCTGCGCTTGTTTGTTTAAGTTCTGAGTTGGCACATGAAGCTTGCATATTATATTTCTATTTAGAAAATCAGACTACTTTCAAGTTTGTTTTTGGGGCCTTTTCGGCACAAGTTCTGCTCATGCCAATTCCCTTTCATGCTTTACAAAGGCTGAAAAGATGCAGAGATCAGTTTCTTTGAAGATTGAACTTTCATTTGGATAAAATCGGAATGAAGGATTTTATTAAATTTACAAAACTGATTTAAAACCAACCAAATTTTGCAAAACATTCAACAACATCAGACAATTTGTGTGGTCATTCACAGGTGGCATCTGACACCATCTTCACGGTCGGGCTGAATCCAAATGTGTTTCCAGTTTCCCCTCACGTCGATGAAATGTGACCTTTTGTTTTGTTTGTTTTTCAGAAATATTTCACCCTAAATTCCAAGTCCAGGATTCTTTTCTAACTTTTAGATAAACAGACCTACACTGTGGTTCGTGGTCACAGAGTTTAGATTTAGATGTTTATCTCAGTATCAACAAAGAGTAAACAACATACACCAAAGTGGACTGAGGGATTGAATTTTTACAGAAAAAAAAACAAATCCTTGTCTGTCAGATTACCTCATCTTTTTTCGAGTTGTAAAGAACAGTGAAATCTGGTACAACAATTGTTTCTACTTGTCTGTTTACTTATGTGTGTCAGTATGTTCTAAATATTCTTTGCTCTGTCGAACAAGTCAAAAAGTATGAAACCGACTGCAACGTGTGAAATACATCATTAGACTTTAGCATTCGCTGGTAGGTGTCAGCTCGGTCCAAGAAAAAAGAAAAATGCCTTCACCGCTCCTGTTTAAAGTACTAATCAGGGACTTTCTGAGTATCTCTGCTGATTAAGCATCTGGAACTGTGGAGCTACGCAAACTTTGTCTGTGACTGACAGATGTTATTCCAAAGTTAGTTTCTGAGAGAATCCTCAGCTGGTGTTTTAACCCGGAGCTTGCTCCCGAAGACACCCTCTGGGCCGGACTCTGTAGGACACAAATGTCAGGTCTGCTTGGATTGTATGGCGGTGGATAAGATCAGCTCTTGTCACTGAGCACACCAACCCCATGTGATTGATTTCCTAGCACTTAACATGCAATACAAAATGGAGACTGAAATTATAGTTCTTCTCATTTTACACTGTTTTTTTTTTTATTTACTACCAGCAATTAGTAAATAATTAAAGGAGAAGTATCGCAATTTCAGTAAAATATGGGTTTCAAATACTTTCTTGAATAGAACCTGGTTTTGATAGATCAGGCACTTTTCAGAAGGGATGAGGTGACTGCAATTTAGGTGGTTAAATACGGAGCATGTTAAGATGTATAAAAACCTACTAGAGTAGTTTACAGCTAAATTTAGAGGTGCAAATTAATGTAGTCTTGTAAAAAAACTTTTTTTGTTTATTAATCTTAGTTTTTCATTACCTCCTTTATGACACACTGGTCCATTTCTCTTAGTCACTCTCCAAAACAAGAAACATCAGAGAACATGCACTTCTTGCAGGACGTGTGTGTTGATCTTCATTAAAATAACAGCAATTTTTATCACAACTTTAAAGATATATATAATATACATTGAATGAAGTGATATTAAAGAACAGAATATTTATGTGCACATTGGAGAAATTAAGTGTTACTTTTTCAAGTTCCATGGAGTGAACATCATGCTGATCATTTCTACCTTAAAACTGACGAATCATTATAAATTACCAAGCCGACCTTTAAATTATTGTTAGGTTTTATCAACATTGATGTAACCAAATTTTAAAAAGACTATAGCACATTTGCTAAGCTGAAGGATGCCTCTTCATTTTGTTATTGTTTCAATTTACACAACAGCTGTAAAAATTGCAAGTTAAATTTTTTAGATACGAAATAAAATAAATCAACACATGTTTGACTTTCGGATGCAAAATGAGGCCTGAATGGAAACCCAAGCGTGCAAGGAAGAGGAAACCTGGAACACGTGTGGCTGCACACAGAGACACTTTTTGCATTTCACAGAAAAACTGGAAACAAACAGACTTTTGTGAATATCTCACTAAAAATGTTTGCACTTGTCTTAGATTAGTGCTAAATGACGAGCATATGGTCACTTCCTGAATGCTAACTTGAATTTACATTTAGAATGTGTATATTTCTGTTTATTTATTTGAAGGGATAACATATTATGCAAAAAAGGACATATACACAGATGCACAGTTTCTTATGTTGGAAAACTGGTCTGTTTTCAGGACAAAGGAGCACCTTAATCTATGTCATCTGATGAGCACCTGAATGAGTCACATGTTTTTAGATGTGTGCATTAATGCGTTCCACTTTAAACAGGTTGGGGCATTTCTTGTTCTGAGAGAAAATTTTTGATTCTTTGACAGAAATCTTTTTGATTTTTCATGCTTTTCAAAAATTTTAAAAATTCCAAGCATTTAAAGATCTATAATTTTTGCATTCAAATACCTTTCAATTTTCAAAGTATGCCCAGTAACCAAAATAACCTAAAGAATAGTAGAATGTTGATATCTATTTACATATGAATGCTGACGGTCATCACCGAAAGGATTTTTCTCCTCCTGCCTTTTGAGTTACTGCTTTAATAAACTTTGGAAAGACAACATTCTAAGAAGCGACATCTCATAGAAGAAGATTTGCAAAAAGATTCAGTGTTTTCCTCTGTGGCTTTGCCATATGCATCTACTGGCATGATCTTAGAGCTGGGCCTTTGGTGCAACATTTACCTCTGAACCACACTCCAAGTTCAAACCGAAGTTAATCACTGTTGCATGATGGAGAATACAAATTCTCCTGCTTCAGTGACGATAATAGTTGCAATTAAGTGAAGATGCTTGCTGTCTGTCTCTAACACATGTGGGTCATGAATTATTCATGCTGCCCAACTGAGAGAAGAAAAGCTGAGTGGAAAAATAAAAAAAAGTTCAGTTTTTTTTTAAATCTCTTTAAAAACCGTCTGAAAAGAGAGTGCGGAAAAAGGACCCGGAGGAGCCAGAAGAAATGCAGATAAATCCGTGCGCTTGCCTGGATTGCACTACAAGTGGTGTGGGGCCAAAGTGTTGTGGGGCTCCGGTGGTTTTTCAGCCAATAAATCCTCTACACAGATTTAATCCAGTCAGATGTGGAGCAGGAGAGGCGCACTGAAGGATGTACGGCCATTACTCAGCAGCCCACATCAGACAGAGAAGCCAAGAATCCGTTTGTCGTTACCTCGATGGTTTTAGAAAGACTTAGACAGGACAGGGAGAGAAGGGAGAACATCATGCTGTGAGAATATTTGGTTGAAATCTTTAAGGTAGTCATGTCATAATGGGCTGTTGTTTTTGGAAGTGTTTAAATTTTTTGGAAACCTAATTTGTTTCCTACACCTCAAAGACTGACCTGAACAGATCTCTATTCATTTTATTACTTAACATTTTATAGTAATTTGAACAAAGAAACAGTATTCTAATTAGGTTTAGATTTGATTGGTAAGGTTATTGATCACATATTTTAAAATAACGTAAGACAACTAATCTGCTACTCAGACCCATGTTTGTGTGGTTTTAGTAAGGCCTCTTTCTTTTCGCCAGTATATCTTTTGCTATTTCCGCACAACATAGGAAAAAAAAAAACCCAAAAACAAATCGAAGAATGTCGCAAAAATTGTTTGCAGGATCTTGTTCAAGATTTTCATCAAATTTGAAGTTGAAAACCCCCCAGTTGTCCAAGACACATGCGCCCTCTGCTGTCCAACCTTTGTAATTGCCACAGTGTGGTTCTTGATGTTACCTTCATCAGTCTTTTCAATCAAATTTCTGCAGGTGTTCTTCTCAGTGAAGTAATTCAGATGTAGGACCAGAGCATAGTTTGTTCTTTCTGTCTTTATTTCTTTATTTCTATATGAATGACAACATACATGTTGACCCACTGCCTCCATGTGTAGGTATATAATTATATAATTTGACATTTGAATAAAAAAAAAGAGCATGCATTTCTGTCATATTTAAGGTAGACTTTTACAAACATCTAGAGCTCTTGAGCAAATCAAACACCATGTTCTCTAAAATGAAACATAACACATATTAAATATATCAACAGTGCAAATGCAGGCTTGTTCATGTGTAAATACGCATAGAAATATAAAAACAGCTGAAGCAGCTGGGGTAAAATTCTCAATTTATAAATCATGACTGTCAATGATTAGGGTGTGCAAATATATTTACGATGTTGAATTTTGGACGTAGTCTTAAAATACCTCAGATAGAAGATAGGTTTTAAAAATTAAGTTAATGTTATATCATAAGATTTGAAGAGAATTATTATCATTTTTTTTCTTTCGTTGTATTACAAATTTTTTTTGATCAAAAAAATGTAAGCAAACTTCAGATATACGGGAATTATATCACTCTAGAAGCAATTCTACGTATCATCTCTAGGGGGCAGTAGCGTATTTTTGTCTTGTGTTGTTCCTCATCAGAGGAAGATAACGTTAGCACAGGGGTCCTTGTTGTTAGCTCGCTAGCGTCAGCCGGTTTGAGCCTGAGCATCCTTCTAGAAAAGCTCCACTTAAAGAAAAAAAAAAAAAAAAAAAAAAAAAAAAAAAGACACGGACTGTACTGATCGTTTTGCTGTTAACGCAAAGCCCGGCAAAGAAAAATCTCTTTGAAGACAAAGAGAATAAAGGTATGGAATGGTTGCTATTTACGTCAAATAGCTATTTTCATCTGAATTTCGAGAAATAAGTCTTTTGTCATGTTTTACTCGAGACGGCTGCAAAAAAATCCGAGTGGGTCGCTACGTCCCGAGAGGGTCTTTGTTTTCATGGGTAAAACTTAACGTTATGGGGGAACAATTTTCTCCACGAGAACCACTCAAACACTTTGTAATTCACGTAAAAGGCAGTTTTAAATGACATTAGCGGGGCTTCGGGCTTTGCCTGCATATCGTGAAGGAACATGCTAGTATAGGCTAACAATGGGACCGTGGTTGAAGCTAGGTTAAACTGACTTTAGACGACGTTGTCTCAGAACCAGAAAGTCCGCATTTTCAAATTTCAAACGTAGAATTTGTAACATCCTAATAAGACGCTGCTTGGATCCGTCTGTGAAATGTTTTCAAGTTAAGTTGAAGAACATAACTTTAAATCGCAGGCCTACATTTTAATTTTGTTGCACGTTTTTTTTTTTTTTTTTCCTATTTTCATGCGCTCTTTTCGAACCAGATTTAAGAAAAACATTCTGAGAATAACGGCTTCAACTGCTGCTTTCCTCGTTTAGGTCGAGGTAAAATGTTCTTATTTTGAGATTAGACATGCGAAAGCCCCCCCATTATTCCTGATTATCTATAGACATTAATAATGCCTATGAAAGTTAAATTAAGCAAATCTGTCTGGAAAATGACTCAGTGACACTCAGGTGCAGTCAGCCCTGCAGCAGGTTGAGCTAACATGAGTCTGCAGTGTCTTCCTCAGGAAATAAAGTCTACAGATACGAACCACATTCACCCTCACAGAAAGCTACGCACACCTACAAGACAGGGGTTATGTATTTCATTTTAACGTTGGTGCATATCAAAACATTTTTATTTAAAGGCGAAATAGAATTCAGTTTCAAATATGCAAGATCATTTATGTAGGTTAAAATAAATCAGTTACAGCATTTAAAAGCCAGATTCTGAGGTAACTTATGTCCGTCTTTGAAAAAAATATGATCCCACATTTTTATAAACCTAGACCTTTCTGAGCCTAATTATGCATGTCCTCATGTAACAAACTAGTTGATTTCTGCATGATAGGTGCTTCAACTGATTCATTAACAAACTCTGGTTGATTTATATTGTGCATCTTCGAAGACTGTTCAGCGTTCTTAGCCAACATTTTATTAGCAGGATAGAAAATGTTAACATTATTATTTAAAATCTTCTAAACAACAACCGGTAAGAAGACAGTCAGTTGGTGAGAGTTGATCATTCTGACGTCTACATTCGTAAAAATAAAAATCTTGGTGTTATTCTGGAAGCATGGAGACACATGTAAATCGTTTCAGTCAACAGTAGCTGCATTTGGAAAAATTCCAACAAAAATGTTTTCTAAAAGTACTTTAATCTTCTTGAAGATTTATGCGATATTTAGTACAGTGACATCATAACACTGACTAATGTTAACACAATTGCTCATATTCATTAAATGGTTAATCAGTGATTTGTGAACTATAAGTCGAAGTCATTCATATTATTGAGACATTGATAGCCATAAATAACACAGCTGGAGAGATATTATATAACACCCGCCCCAATTTTCTTTTTCGGTTTGATTTTTTCCTTAAGATGCCTTCAGCAGCGGTTGGCAACAATGCTGTCCAGTGTGCCATTCCAGACTTGGGAAATGGAAGTCATTCTGAGACCATGAAGCAGTTTCTTGGTGTTATCGACAAAAAGGTCCGGAATATGGAAAAGAAAAAGGTACATGAGCAAAATGTTTACATCGAGGTTTTTGAATCTTTCTCTATTTTGGCGCTGATTTTTGTCCGTGCGTGCGTGTGCATGTGTGTGTTTCACTAGATGTCACAAGTTACTACTTGAGATCATTAAGTCTATGAATATTTTTTTTATTAAATTTCAGAAAGAATGTTGTAAACTGTATTTATCTAAAGTTGTTTTTATATGGCAAGAAAAAAACAATGCTATTTTATAAAACTAAAAAAAAAAAACCCACAATGAAATGTTTTTAAATGAACAATAAGACCAGTTCTTCTATCTACACTTTTGAATCCATGCTTTTCATTTAACAACTGCAATATTTTTTTCAGTCCAAACTGGATGACTATCAGGCCAGAAAGAATAAGGGAGAAAGACTGAATCAGGATCAGCTGGTGAGATGGGAAACTGGCAGCTACTTCATATGCAGCATTGTATTAATGCAAGCAATATAACAATTTGAAATGTTGTTTCCTGGATGTTTCCAAAGGAAGCCTTGTCGAAGTATCAAGAGATCATCAATAACCTTGATTTTGCTCGGGAACTGCAGAAGAGCTTCCTGGCTTTGGGCCAAGAGGTTAGTCAGACCTTTTCTGTAAAGTTTGACCAAACCTCAATAATGGTT